ATCAATGATATATTGTTAAGATGATTTTCCCATCAACTTTTATAATTTCTTATAGTAAGCAGGGCAGAATTAGGATTTTACGATAAGAGAGGTCAAATAGTGGCACAATCAATCCTTGTTTCTATTATTTTTTTTTCCGTAACACAACAGTGATAAAAATATTAACAACAATGATAAAAATATTCATAGAGTGATAAATGTCGGTACAATATCAAATTTATTTATTTTCGGCATTGTAGGCAACTCCTAGTTTTTAATACACTAAGATGAAATATAGTATAGATCTATGTAAGAACTTTTGAAAAGCCAAGAGGAAGGCATAATAATTTTTAAAACTTAAACAGAGATATATAGGGTTCGTTTGGTTCGCGTTTTTATTTCGTACTTCGTGTTTTTGTTTTCATTTTTGGGAGAAACAAAAATAAAAATGTGTTTGAATTGTATTTTTGTTTTATATAAAAAAAGTTGTTTTGGAAACAACATCCAAAAGCAAGGAACAAAAAAAAAAAATTGTTCTAAGAAACAAGAGAAACATAAACATGCACTCTAAGTGAAAAACTTGGGNACATGTTTTGAAAATGTATAGATAAGGGCATTAAGGTCTCAACTGCGACAAGTTTGGCCGAACATTCGTACTGATATAACAGAGGATATCTTCTGGCAACACGAATGGAATGTGCATGGCATCTGTTCGCTAACGAGAATGACCAAAATGAACTACTTTCAAGCTGCTATAAGAGAAACAAGGAGAATTAATTTGTTGACAATCCTACAAAATGCCCGTATTGTTCCAGGTTCGCATATTGCTTACACCAAGAATCAGTTCGAGAATGCAGTGAGGAACTCAATTGGAACAGATATATATGTTTCATGTGCGCGTCTTAACAATACCCATGTTCTCTTGAAAGAACTTTTCATTTGTTTGGATGACACTGCAACACGCTACATAAACTNTTATTCGTAAGGGGAGCGGTTGCCTACCTTTCTCGACTTGGTGACCTGCACCTCACATTTATAATATCTATATTTTATTTAGGAGTGTTTAAATTTTCGATTATCCATAAATTTTGATCATATTCTACCCTACTTGACCTTATTGACCGAAATAATCGGGTAGGCAAACAGCAGGTTTTTCACTAATCTACAAAAAATCGGGTAGGAATGCAACACACCTACAAAAGTTTTGTATTCTTACCCCACTCTACCCACACACACACACACACACACATATATATATATGTTAATCCCCAAAAATCAAAATTCATAAATTTAGAAATACTAATATTTTATTGTTGCTTATAGCTTTCTTATATATAATGTATTGATGTTTGTGACTTTTTTGTTGTGTTTTATTGTAATTGTTTATGTATTATCGAGTTTATTGTGTTTTTTTTAGTGTTATTTGAAAAACTTATGGGATGATTTTATATCATTGCTTAAATGTGTTTTGGTGATGAAAGGAAAATTTTGTATGCATTGAGACTAAAACAACAGTTTTAGTGTATGTTGAAATCATGTTTTATGAGAAGGGGACTGAGTTATCCGGTTTAAATGGTAACGAGATTGTATATTGGCGTGGTCGGTATAGGGATGTACACATAAGGGCCAATTATTAGTCTAGTGGTAACAAGAGACGGGCGGGGCCAGTTATCAGGCTAGTGATGACAAGAGGTAGAACCAGTTACTAGACTAGTAGTAATAAACATGATTTGACAAATATATTTTAAAATTGAATGTGTGTGTGAGTGTTTTGAGTTATAAATATCATTCATTTATAAAGTTATTTGTGAAAATAAGTGGGTGTTTGAATTATAAATGTCTTTTCTTTTATAAAGTTATTTATGATCATGAGATCATTTTATTTACATGATTATGTGGAAGGGATTGATGTATAATTTGTTATACTTATGTATATAATAGAGTTTATTTTTGCACATAAAATATGAGATTTATTTTCACATCTCATTAGAAGTGGTTGTTATTCACGGGCCTTTGTGCTCACCCAACATTTAACATTTTTCATGAGAGAATTAAGAGGAAGAGTAAGTCTTCGGATAGACAAAGGATTAGAAGAATTGAAGATTTATTTTATTGTAGGTTTTCAGGAATAAATATCTTTTATGATTTTGAGACAAATATTTAATTGTTTTGGGAATAATGTTGCTCATGTTTAGACTTCAAAGTAGTGAACCTTATGATTTTGGTTATTATTTTACATGAGTTTAATATTGATGTTGGTGATATGTAGTTTATTCCTCTGGTGTTTATTAGGTCGATGAATTAGATTATTTTATTATTTGTCTTTCGCTGTATTTAACATTTATTATGTACAATGTTAATTAATTGAGACCTTGGTGGTCGATCCGCCACCCACTTTATGTGATCTGGGGTGGGGGTGTGACAATAGTCAATATATATCTTATTGTATAACATTTTTTTTTGTCAAAGTGGATAAATAATTAATGAAAAATAATGTGTATTTCGTACCCCCACCAACAACTCTCTTACTCCAACTAATCTCTGAGCTGTCGTTTTTTGATTTATATTCAAGAAACTCCCGTGAGAACGAAAGGCTGTGAAGTGATGTTCCAATTGTTTTAAGGTGAATGCAACTTTCCGGTCCAAAAGATTCTACCCTTTTTTATTTGAATAATGGTAGATGGACTTAAAAATTAGATTTGATAATCTCAATCATTGAATAGGTAGTAAGTCTCAATAAATATTGGGACCCACAGTAAAATTAATGGTTGAGAAATTATCAAGTCTAGTTTTTAAGTCTACTTTTTAAGTCCATGTAATATTGCTCTTTTTATTTTATCTACTCACGATTTCACATTTCATCGAAATATTTTTTTAAATGGTTGTTACGTGTTCCTTTTATATAGGGGTAATTATAAAATGCTCACTTCAATGTTGGTTTTGTTGTCATTCACTCCTTCAAATTTTAATTTCAATAAATAATCTCTTTCATGTTTAAATATTTTACAATTAACTCTAATAATTAATTTTATATCATAAAAAATGACTGAAGCTAGATATAAGAAATTCATCTGATTTTTATTTTGTTGAAAGGTTATAACTACCACTAGAAGATGTGTGCGCGCGCGCGCATGCATGCTGCTGTTGGGTGGACACGAATGGGAATCCAAACATGTTGTCAGGGATGACCCAAGGTAAAGTGGGGTTTTAAACAAAAATTTTTTATGGGGCTCAAACTTATAATTTTATTTTTTATTTATTTAAAAATAATTTTTATTTTTTGATATACAAAATATTGATCAAATTTTTATATACAAATTTTGACAATAAATCTTTCTCAGTAGATAATATAGTTAATTCATTTAAGTTTAGTTGAATGTAAATAAAATTTTATCAATTTAAGTTTTGTACAAGCAATTTAATGATAAAATATGTGAGCAAAGAATAATTTTGAAACAATAGAGAATTATTTTTTACCCACGAGTTATGTGCACACATGAAGTACAAAACTTTGATAATACCGACAATTTAAACATAAATTATTTGGATAGAAAATTTATATTAAGATAAAAAAAGAACCAATTTTATACAAGAAATAATGTATATACATTTTTTTTGTGAGTGCAAGGAATACAACTATAAACACACCCATAAGAACTGGAAAAACTTGAATAAAAGTTCAGAAAGAGTGAGTAATTTTAGACATAACAAAATTAAATATTGAATTAAACTATTAAAATTTGGGCCCTAAAATTTGAATAATATCTAAAATAAAAAAAAGAAAAAATAGGCCTATTATACTAAGGGATAAAGATCATCCAAAATTTGAGCTTAACCAAGTAAAGAGTAATTTTGAACCTAACAAAATTAAATAATGATTTAAACTTTTAAAATTTAGGCAAAATTTAGATTATATATATAAATTAGATCTATTATACTAAAAGAGTAAATATTTATGGAACCCTCTAAAATTTGGGGCCTTAAGCAAGCACATTAGCTACCTTGTGCTTGGGCCTGCCTTGCATGTTACGTAGTGTGTTGGTGGACTGAACAAATATATTATTATCTTGACTTTCTTGTTTCATTGTTTTTAATGAAAATAATTGGCATATCAATAAAAATATATGGAAAATAATATACAAGATGGAGTACGTAATAGTAGTTTCATGTTTCAACCACTCCAATTAATCAATTTAAAACTTGCAAGGGGCATATTGTATTATTTAAAACCACAAGAAACTTACTGTAACAAGGGGCATTGTTGAAGGGGACAAATTATAATTAACCTTTTTTATATACCGTCTTTTGGCGACAAGAGGGGCACATTGTTACCATTTGAAATTGTATGGTTTAATTTTTGAATAGATTAAAGTGAAATTTCAAAATCTCCAGGGACTAAAGTTCAATTAGCAACATTAGTATTTTTTAATAAATACACGGTTTTGACTCATATAAAGGTAGTCTTACTGTTCACTGCATCATTTTCTAATGAGTAACGCTGAATGGATTTAAAAACTAGACTTAATAATTTCAACAATTGAATAGGTAATGAATTCCAATAAATGCTGGAATCCATAGTGAAATCAATAATTGTAATTATTAAGTCTAATTTTTAAATTCATGTAACATTGCTCTTAACTAATTATTCTACAATGAAGGTTTCTTGCTAGGCAACTTGATTTTCTTTTTTTTTTTTAGCAGTGCTAAAAAAAAAAATATAACCTAAAAAGTTACAATTCAAATAAATGAGTCCCATTAATTTTTTCAGTGGATTTTACTCATTTCACTCTTATTCAGAGATGATAAGTATTTGAGTTTTAATTTTTTGACTTCATTTCAATTATGTAACATTTTTTTTTCCACGTAAGATAGAAATAACTGCCTTTAGAAATGACGGGTTGTGTACACCCAACCTAAAATTTCAAAGTCAAAATCTTGACCCAACAGCTTTCATCTACTCATTATAAATATTCATGCCCACAAATCCATTTTCCACCTTCCAGGTTCTCGTTCTGAAAAACAATGAGAATCTTCGTTTATCTTTTGCCTCTTCTAGCTTTGCTCTTGATACGCTTTTCGTTCTTGATACCCTTTCGCGGACTTAAACAAGCACCAGCACCCTATGCCAATTTTCAACTTGTCGAAACATGGGCACCAACCTTTTGCTCACAACCACATATACCTTGTATACAGCACTTCCCTCGAACTTTCACTCTTCATGGCCTCTGGCCGGCTGATGCCAACGGAAATACTCTTCTCAGATGTAGTACCAGTCGAAGGGACAAGGACATTCAAACAGAGGTAAACCTTATATACCCAGAGTTTATTTACTACTTGTACCCAAGCTTGAAATATTCGGTTTGGTATACTTTTTTAGGTACTCATTTTGTGCATTGGTCTATTATTATGCGTGTACTTAAAAGTATTAGTAGTCTTTTATGTAATAGGACTTGTATGAAAGATTTTGAATATAGGGCCTGATCCCCACACTTACTCTATACTATAGGTGTGGGTTTAGATAGTGGATTAAAGTGGGATAACAAAGGATAGGCTAATAAGACTGTGAGTCTCACATATCTTTTATTTGGGAAATAAAAATAGAGGCCAGATAAAAATTCTAGGTCTATCCTTAATGCGGTTGTTACAATAGATTTTAACCTTTGTACATGGGTTAAAGCAAACCCATCTTGGAGGTGGGTTAAAATGCCAATAGATTGGATTTCTTGGTACAATTACTATAAGTATATACACACGTGCTCATAATGCATACAACCTTAAATTACATAAAAAAAAAAAATTGATCACTACCAAGCATCTTTTTTCCTTACCATAATATTTAATTGTAATATTAGGAATTTGCTTGCTCGTTTGTTTCATGACGTTAACCATGAACTTAATTCCACTTTATTGAGATAGAGCATGAACTCATTTTAATCCCAGTTAATTGTAATATCAGGATTTTATGTATTGAAAATTAGTTACGGGCTGTTTGGTAAAAAGATATTCAAGATGGGTTTGGGAAAAATAGTTCAAAAGCCTCTCAAATCTCATGTTTGGATTGAAAATTCTATCCAATGTTCCTAAACTTGGTCTGTAACTGGCTCGAATATTAAGCCCATGGCCATGAGTTTTGTCAAGCCTAAGGGGTGGGTTTGGGAAGATGGGTTAAGGGATTAATGATATAAAAGATAATTGTACCTTTTAACATGAATATGAATTAGATTGATTAAGGGAAAAATAGTCATATATAAGATAAATAGTTGTTAACAATTATGATATATCCATGAGTCCTACATATGTATGTGTTGCATACCAAACATGAGTATGAACCGAATTTAATGTTGAATTTCATTTTTGTAAATAGGAATTTGAGTTTGGGTATGAGTTTGGAGGAGTTTGAGGAAGCCAATCTAAATTCTCTTCAAAAATCCATCCAAACAAGCCCTCAATGTTTTATAGTCGATACAAACTACACCTTGCAAAAGATGTATTTTTAGCAGGTTCGCATGTAGAATTTATCTTTTGGGTAAAAAAATTGAAGGCTTATATTGTTTATAGTAGTATTTCTGCCGTGTGCAGAAGCACGCCTTCTTATTTGCTTAATTGATGGTTGAAGAAACGTGATTTACACTCATAGGCTCCATTTGATAAAAATAAAAATAAAAAAACTCTTAGGCTCCATTTAATTAGAGAGAAACTAGTGATAGAAAGTGAAAATACCGAAAAGAAAGGCACAAGATAAGAAATTATCTTTCTCAGTGACAATTTTGTTAGAGTGAAAAATTCAAAATAAAATTGTGGGAAATTGGAATTTTGTTGTTTGAAGGGGATGAATGTGAAAAGAAAATATATACTTTTACTTAAATTGACCATTTCCTTACAAAATCTAGTCTAATTTTGGGTTTCAAGTTGTAAGGTTGGCCTGATTAACAATTATTAATATCTTGTATTATTTATACAGTTTTTTTTATTTGTGTTGTTCTCGAGCAATGCTGCTTCTGCTAAATCTTGTATCAATTTTTACATAATGATGTGGTACTATTCACACCGTTAGATAAGTGAGTTCTATAAATATCTGAAGATAATAAAACTATTGAATAAGTGGGTGAATTGTACTTTATATCCTAAAATATTTTAAAAAATTTATTTTACACTTTCAAAAATTAAAATTTTCATATTATACCTTTAATATATTAAAAGTGTTGCAATAAAGTCTTTTCGTTAGTTAAGGGGGTTAAACCAAAATCTTCATAAAACTAATAACAAGAGAAATTCGTTGCTTAAGTGGGTGAAATTTAAGTATCTAACCAAAAAGAAGAAGTGGACTTTTCTTGAATTTAATGTACTAGTCAATTTCAATTTGTGTCGAAAAGACCCACATTTTTTTTTCTCTAAAATTTCAATGGGTTCAATTGATCCACTTAGTTTGCCTGGCTATACACATGGGTGTGTCAATAAGTATCAACATTTGAAGAATGTTAAATTCCCTGAAGTTTGCTTATATGTTTTATTATTGGTAGAATGTAGTATGCAAGGTGATGGCATTGCCAATTTCTTGCTTTTGCTCTCCCTATAATTTTTCTTTCTTCTTGTAAATTTGTCTTTTATCTTTTCTGGAACATGTTTTGAAAATGTATAGATAAGGGCATTAAGGTCTCAACTGCGACAAGTTTGGCCGAACATTCGTACTGATATAACAGAGGATATCTTCTGGCAACACGAATGGAATGAGCATGGCATCTGTTCGCTAACGAGAATGACCAAAATGAACTACTTTCAAGCTGCTATAAGAGAAACAAGGAGAATTAATTTGTTGACAATCCTACAAAATGCCCGTATTGTTCCAGGTTCGCATATTGCTTACACCAAGAATCAGTTCGAGAATGCAGTGAGGAACTCAATTGGAACAGATATATATGTTTCATGTGCGCGTCTTAACAATACCCATGTTCTCTTGAAAGAACTTTTCATTTGTTTGGATGACACTGCAACACGCTACATAAATTGTCCAGCAAGTACAAGCCCAAGGGGTTGTCCACGTGCACGAGGGCCGAACATCATATTACCTAGTTAAGGTTTATCCATGATATCACCTAAGAATGTGTTGGAAACAAAAATAAAAGCATGTGTTGCCTTAATTAATTGTATTGAATATGCTGTTTTCATGTTAACTTATTGTGAGTTGCAGAGTTTGGTAGTATCAAACTAAATGTACGTCAATATAGACGTGTTGAGTACATAAAAATATACGCACTATTTCAAAGGTTCAGAAGAACCAATCGGCAATGAATTTTTCTTTCTTTTGTGGATACAACCATTTTTAATCCTAGAGATTTGTTTACGAAAGACAATTTTTTCAAGCTCCCTAAAAAATAAAACAATTAAGTCCAAGGTTTTGATTGAGTTTCAATTTAGTCATTCCATCTCAATTTGTTAAATATGAGACTAGGGAATCATGAGATAGATGAGAATGTCGTGTCTCATCTTTTGGGATGTTGTAAAAAATTGGATTATGTGTTTTATTTTATACCTCTATAAAGAAATATTCTAGAGAACTCTGGAAAGATATATAGAGACCCAGAGATGTATAAATGACTCTTGTAGGTAGTAGATATTTAAAAACTTTTTAAGAATAATTCTAGACACATTACCAAGTGATGGCACCTACAAGTCCTAACCATTCATTACAAGGTGAGGTATATATATAAAAGAGTGAGAACTCATTTGGACTTTCCAAGTTTTAAGTTTCAAAACACTCTCTACTTGTTCTCTCCTTGTCCCTTTAGTACTTCAAACGGAGGTTTCAATGTCAAAATGTCAGATGGGAACTTGAGAAGTGTGAGTCCAAGAAAATATGTTTGGTTCCAACTTATTCAAACACATGCAGGGGCGGATTTACACTGGGTTGCAATCCAAAACACATTTGGGATTTGTTTAAGATTTTAGAGAATTTACAATGATTTATTTGTTTGCCCCCACTGTTTGAACTTGTTTTAAAGATGATTTAGAGAAGCTTGTGTTCTGATTCATGGACGTTTATGGGTTTTTTACTTCAAAACGAAGAAGAGGTTGAAGATACTTGCGGTGGTGACGCGTGTAATATTGTAAAGTGTATAATAAAGCTGCCAGCTTACCTATTGGTTGAACCAGCTGTCCTATACTAACTAATTGCTTGGCGTTCTGAATTAGCCAAACTACTTCTTGTCTGTTGTGCTGAACGAACAATGTTATTGTAGTTAATTTATTAATTTAATTTGTTACACCTAATTTATTATAGTCTTTAGATTTACTATAGATTTCAGTAAACATTAAAACTTTGACCCACTTGGTGTCTTGCTCGATGTCTATGGTGGTTGGATGGTGGAATAGTTAGGGGTATTATAGACTAGGTGTGCCTATAAGTTGAGAAATCTATTTTCTAATTTTTTTTTTGTGTCTTTGTTGGACATGTTTTGAGCTTTGTTGAATATTATTTTTTAGAATAAAGTAAATTAACAAAAACGAAATATAAAAGATTTTGGATAATTTTATATTTTAGAGAATAAGTACAATTCTCTATTAAAGTAAAAAAAATGGACTTAAGAGAGTCATAGAGTCTTAAGAATTAGACTTAAAAATATATTTAAGGGACTTAATTCACGACTTTCTTTTTAGTTTCTCCTCTATCTCAAATTTATTGTTTTTCCTCTATAATGACACACCAAGTGAGAGATCTAATCATCCTAAAAAAACCGACAACAACTCAAACCTACAATTCAATAGAAGATTAAAAGCACTCCAATCATCACTCACTTGTCACGAGTCGGTAGACCATCCGAGTGTTAATTTCTTATTGTCACTTTTCTTACATTGCTTGTGTATGCGGGATAGGTCACCAATTAATGTCCTTTTAATGAAATTGTAATTATTAAAAGGTAGGAAAAACTAATAATTTTTAAAATTATATTAGTGTTACAATTTTTAATTTTTTATTGTGTCATAAGTTGCCCCCACTGAAAAAAGTTTCTAGCTCCACCCCTGAACACATGCACCAACTTTTTTTTGTCATAGCCACATATAACCAATATCACGCAAATTAGTTCCAAATTGCGCTCTTTTTGATGGTGTTGAAAGTAAAACCCTTGCCAATTGTAGCACAAAAGCAAAGAATATGAAGATTCAACCCGAGGTAAAAAATTTTATATACCAAAAACATGAAAGACAAAAACATGTTAAAATGAGAGTCTAGCTCATTTAACTAAACCATTCTATGTATAAAAAAGGTAAAGCAACTCAAATTGTCATTTGTTTTTCATGGGAACTCATCCAATTTATTAGAGGTGTTCTGTTCTAATTATTGCCAAATATAGGACAAGAACAACTCTGATAAATTTAGACGTTAGTGTGGAACCAATTCAAGTATTTAAAGGAGTGATATGAGATTTTTAAAAATAAAATTCATTTATTAAGTGGGTGAAATATAAGCATCTAACCAAAAAGGATAATTAGATTTTTCTAGCATTTCGTGTACTAGTTAGTTCCAATAGGTGCCCAAAAGACCCACAATTGTTTCTAGAAATTCAAGAGGTCAATTGATCCCACTACGTCTTGCTTGGTTGCATCATGGGAGTGTCCAAAAACTCAATCAATAATTGTCGACATTTGAAGAAGGTTAAAGGCCACAAAGTTTGCTTATTTGGTTTATCATTAGTAGATTGTAGTATGCATGACATTGACAATTTCTTGCTTTTTCTCTTATTCTAATTTTTTCTTCTTCTTGTTAAATTGTCTTTTCTTCTTTTTAGAACATGTGTTGAAAACGTACATATAAGGGCAGTAAGTTATCAACAACAAGAAGCTTGGACAAACATCCACACTGATAAGACATATGATATCTTTTGGCAACACGGATTGAATGAACATGACATCCATTTACTGACAAAAATGACCAAAATGAACTACTTCCAAGTTGCTATAACAGAAACGAGACAAATTAATTTACTGAAAATCCTACAAAACACCAACGTTGTTGTTCTGGTCTTTTATATCTCCTACACCAAGAACCAGTTTTACAATGCAATGAGAAACTGAATTAGAACAGATGTATATGTTACTTGTGCGCTCCTTAACAATACTCATGTTTTCTTGAACGGACTTTTCATTTGTTTGGATGACACCGTAGGCTTCATTAACTGTCCACCAAATATAAGCCAAATGGGTTATTGAAATGCACGAGGACTCGAATATCCTATCCCTAGTTAATTTACATCCATAATATGACCTAAGAATGTGTTTGAAACAAAAAGAAAAGTGATGTGTTGTGACGCTCTTAAATCCGGGGTCCTTTCTCAATCTGTTGATCAGCCATCAACTTGTGGGAGTACCCATAAATGCCGCATAACCCGACATTACATCATCACATCCCCTTCACTAGGATCGTAACCAATACAGAGTTTGCACAGAGTCTCCCTTATACCGAAGTACTCCCAACGCATAACTTGTGTACATATCAACCACTTGACCATTCTAAGGTCCATCCCCATCAATTAGGACTTAAATCTTTAACCAATTCCACCACATAAGTAAGAGGGCTCATGATTCGAAGGTATGACAGAGTTATATTTAAATTTTGGAAGAGTATCGGTACCTTTTACCTGTGGTACTAGTACTTCAGCTGTTTATCTGTCAGGTTCCTTCCATTAGCCAGGTACAGGTACTTAATCCCTTAAGTACTGGTACCTGAGCCCATTGTTTGCTAGGTACTAGTACCTACATGTCGTGGTACCGATTCCTGAGCCCACTGTCCATCGAGGTACTGATACCTGGAGCCTTGGTACCAGTACCTGAGCCTATTAGAATCCAGGTACTGGTACCTATAAGTTTAGATACCAGTACCTGGGCTATCCAACAGCGTGGTACTGGTACCTAATCGCCTAGGTACCGGTACCTAGGCCCAAATCTTTCCCAATTCTTTTCAATAACCCAAACTCAAATATCATTCAATTACACTTAAAATATAGTTCATAAGAGTCCATTACATGTTCCCTTAATATAATTTTCAAGCTCATTATAATTTACACAATTGATTACAAAATGTAAATTTAAGAGCCACAATTCAACTTTTTCATCAACAAAGGCTCAAGTGAAGGCCATCCACCAGTGTTTATCCCCATAAAGGGTGACCTACGCTCAATAGAGTATCTCCTAAAAAGGTTACTCCCCAGCCCAGATGCATATGAAATGGTCACATACAAATCATCACATAAATCATCAATTCAAGAATATGTAATTCATAAATGGATTTCACGATGTCATGCTATGTCATGAGATGATGCTCACACGTGCAACGTAACCCAAGCTCTCCACCGGTTCCCATAACACATGCAATGCCATACGTATGTATCTGAGCATTTCAAGCCTCTGTTATTGATGTTGAATATCCAATAACCAATTTACAAAATTTCGAGTCTTTCTTGGGGTGGGTATTTATGGACTTCCAACAATAGGTGCCCAACTGACATGACATCTATGGACTTCCACCAACGGCTCTACTTATGCCAACACACTTTAGACTCAATACCAACAGAGTGCGTATCCGAAATTATCAGGTCTTTCACCCAAAGAGAGAATCTAACCCTTCTTGCGAACCCCGGCCCATGTTTTCAACGCAACCCGTGTGACTCAGTTGAACCTAGGTCCAATTTTCTCGAGCCTACGTATCACCCACCGAGGATGGTGTTTGATCAAAATATGCACACACACCCACACTCATGTCACATGCTCACGAATGCGATGTTTTTCGTGCATATGCAAATGTGGTGTGCAATTATAATTACTAAATCATGTTCAACATATCATCCGCATATTATGAACATATTTCATCTCAATCAACATTTCTCAATCGTCAATTATATCATAAACATATAATCACAATTCATAATATTACCAAGCATGTTATGTCATTCTCATTCAAATAACATACTTAAATCATTCCTAGGCATTTATCAAAAATCTACAAGACACAAAATTATGTAAACACATAGCAGACATCATTCATCTTATATCTCAAGAAATTACAAACAAACAATTCCCACAAAACCCAATCTTGCA